TATATCATTTATATCGCCCACCCCTACGTTTAACTATGCGTTTCTAAACTGCCCTAAAAAGTATCCAGCACATGCATGAATAAATACAGAGCTGCAGCTGACATCAACTACCCCAGATTCAATCAATGGTTGTCGGAAAGATATTCCCACTGCTCAAGCTGACATAGCAAAATGTCTTGATTTAATCAGCCAACTTTCCAAGACCCAAAGTTCTTCCGATTAACGTCACTGAAGGTTGAGAAAAATAATGGATACTAGAAAAAAAACATCATAGTCAGAGTTGTTTTGGGCAATGCTGCAATGTGGACTGCCTACTAGTATTATTAACTGTGTATTTATTCAACTTAAAGTAAGGTGTCTTTTATTTATAGAGGATTTCCTTAAACTTTAAAAGTTAAGGGTTATGGTAGTGGGGACACGTGTAAGGATTTACTCCCTGATCAGGCGGTTTGGAGGTTTTTGGAGCCTCTGGTCCACTGTAGCTACACAGAGCTAAAGCCAGCAGTAAATTATTGCATAATGCAAACAGCACGAGAGGCCCTGAGCTATCTGGGGATAAAGGCAGCTGCAGGCAAACCTTAATGATCCTTCCACAGGTTCATCTAGGAAACCCTGAGAGGTTTACTTCCTCTCAGTCACATCTTGTTGACCAAAGGCTCTCTTCTAAAACAATTTTTGTATTTAGGGCAAGTCCTTCTATTTGGTACGGTCTCAAAGGTCTAGAGCTTCATGAAAGAATATAGTGAATCAGATTATCTGTTGTGGCGTCCCCTCAATCAAAATTTTAAAAGATATTCAGAGATTTGTTTTTGTCGGTCTCATCTGGACACATGACTGACAAATACATGACAAATACAGCAGGGAATAAACTTCATAGGAGGGTGACAATGTGTCTCGTTAGCACATGTTGTCATTCTTGCCCTTCAAACATACAATAAAAGTTTCTGCTCAGGAAGTCTGAGACTGCAGCGCAAGATTTCAAGAAACACCATTACCATAAAAGAACAACTTTCCTTCTGGGAAAATAATCAGGACCAGTGAGTAACATAGCATAACCATCATGCCTGTTTAATCTCCCCGTCACTGTTAAGGGAAATAAATTCTGCATATGTGAGATTATCCACAGATGGAAAAGGTTTTGCTTCAGAAGTCTCTGGATATCTGAACCATATATTGACTACAACCAGGGATATTTAAATCAGGGCTCTCGTCAGTGCTGTATCATCCACAGGTTTTATCATGTAGCTCCTTTCAGTAGTCTTACTGAAACCGACTCATTACTTATTTCAGCAGGTTGGTAAAGACTGCTTTAAAAAAAAGAAAACAGGGTGTACTGAATAGACCCCGGGCTTTTGACAACTTTGGCCATCATACACCAAGTCTGCTCCCTGTAGCTTTTTTTTAATGCTTACTCAACATTTACTTGGGAGTTGACAAGGTATCCAACTTTATAACAGATTTTTAGCATTTTCATCCCTTGTTCTCCGTCCAGCCTTTTGATATAATGTGTTTGGATTACAAAAGTCAACATATGCAAGCTATCGATAAACACGTGAACACAAAAGAGATCAGACAGAGCAACAGCTGAAATAAGAAGAGAGAACAAAGACTGATAGGCAAGACTGTAAAACAAACTTGACTTTGTATTATGTGAACTCAGTGAGGGAGGGAGGAACATTTCATTCAAATAAAATGAAGTAGAATTGTCTTTAATTTGATCTATGACAAACCTGAGGTTTTTTTTTTATGTTAATATATTGAATTTTCAGCAGTGAGCAGCTATTTTCATATTGCAGGCAGAAAACATTAAGCTAACTTGTCAGTGTTTGGGTATTCTGTCAAAGCTTGTGTTAAACACTTGAGGCTTTAACTTTGAGCACATCAACATCCAAACATCACTAAGTATGTTTGGTCAAGTTCTTTTACAAAACCTCGAGCCAAAGCTTCACGGGCTCCAGCTGTCAAGCTGCGTCTCTCATCAAAATGGGCTAATGATTTTCTCTGCAACCAACAGACTGAAATTATTCCCACTCTCCAACCAGTCAATGAAGATTTTCTTTGGTTAATTACAAGTAGGGCTGCCACAAACGATTATTTTGATAGTCGACTAGTCACCGATTATTTTTGCGATTAGTCGACTAATCAGATCATGCATCCATTGGACGTACAGCGTACAGCTTATTGCACCAGCATGCATCTGCTCTTATATAACTATCATTAGCTTACAGCTCTAAGTGTTTAAGGTATGTGCTAACTAAAAATAAAGACAAGATGATAGTTTATTAAATTTTAATGAAATTCAGAGATTCATTCAGGCAAACAAGAAAAGGTCCTAAAAAAGTGATGAAAAAAGCAGGGTATCTGGGGTACAGAGTATAAACAAACAAAAGATTTTTTCAGTACCTTTTTAAGACCAAAATACAGAAAAACAGAAAACTCCATGGTAGAACAATCCTAATTCTAGCCATGCTAAGTGTTTTAATCCCAGTGTCTTCCCTGTCTGCTTAAGTCCAGAAACAACAGCATAAAACTGTCTAGATGCTGTTGTTTGGTTTATAGGCATCTGTTTATCATGAGCAAAAAGAATTGACACCTGACCTGATCTGAGAAAAGGAGCCGACCACTTTGAGTGACAATTTCTTTGTTTTCTTTTAAAACGTGTTAAACAAGAAGTGATTTCTCAGTATGTGAATTGACTTTTTTGTTCTTTTCTGCTTTTAATTATTTCTGGTATGTCTTACTATTTGAATTTTCTGTCTGTGAAGCTCTCTGTATCTTTGTTAAGAAAAGTAATCTATAAATAATGTTTCTAGGTAATACTGTACTTGTTCAAGTTATTTTTAGTCTTTGTAGTGTTGTTGTTATAGTTATTGGTTGCAGTTGTTCTAGAAATAGAATATTGCTGTTGATTTTCCAGATATTGCTGTACTGGTTCTAGGTATTGTTGTAGCTACTTTATTTATTTCCCTTTTTTTAATAAAAAAAAGAGGGACAATACATATTAATGAACATTTTAAGAAATGTAAATATGCCAGATTATAGCCTTAGGTAACTTCAGTTGTTGTAGTTGTTATTGATGTAGTTGTGTCGTTTAAAATTCTAATTGCTGTAGTTCTAGTTGCAATTATAACAGTAACAAACAAAATGTAACCCTAACTAAAAGCATCTATTTGTTTCCTCCCAAGTTAAGGAAAAAAAGTGCAGTTACTTCAGACTTTGCTCGAGTATGGAAAGAATTGTATCGTATGTAAAACTTTACATTTAGCTTCATACTCTTTCATGTATTTTAAAACTTGTCCATTACTTTACTTAAATTGTATTATCCTTTTTGATGCACCTTGCATTTCAAGAGCTTTTGAAGATCTGCAGGAATGCTGTCGACGTTCAGGGTGATTATATCTTTTTCTTTTCATTTGTAAATTTTTAATAATATTTTGTTTATTTGAACACATCAAGACAAACATATCAATCATGTGGAAAAGCAGCTTTTTACTTAATGTTATTCTCTCTTCCAGTTATGACTGCGGCTGACTGATTGCCTCATCTGTGCTAAATCCACACATCGCTCAATTCCCTGTGTGAAGGGACATCTTCCTCCGCTC